GGGGACAGCTCCTCTTTTAGCTTCTCTTCCCGACTTCCTCTGCTACGTCATTCTTGCAAACGGTAAACGGCAACAATTAAACTTTCACGGTCTGCTTTTTAGCTGTTTGAGGAATGATGTGTAAAAAAAAATTATTTTGAAGTGTAGATATCTTCTAAGTTAATTTGAAATCTATCAGAAGACCAGAAAAGTAGTAACCGAAATTATCGATAAAATCTACTTGTCGAATTTGAAGCAAAAATGGTTCCATCATGTAACGGGCGCTGACAGTAAAAGCGTTGCGTGACTCGAGCAGACCGTTTTTCTGGATCTGCCTCTGCTGATCGCGACGCAACTGAGACAGGCATGCTAAGTTACCATTGAATTTGCTCCCAACAAGTAACGAAATAGTTTTCTATTTTTCACCCTCTCTCTAGCGCCCTCTGGCTCTCCTCTGAATGTTACGGCCTTCGCCGAATCGTCGACGTCAATTCTCGTGAAGTGGAAGCCACCAAATGAACTGGATCGAAATGGAGTCATTACCTATTATATTGTCAGATACACGTCTCTTGGCATGGAGTCATCTATCAACACCACTGACAACACTACACAGACGCTTATTACACATTTGAGAAAGTTTACCGAGTATTACTTCACTGTCCAAGCCGTGAACGACATTGGTGCAGGTCCCCCGAGTGTAAATGATACAAAAAATAAGACATTCGAAGACTGTAAGTGTGATATTTTTTTTAACGTAGTAATCAGAACACTAGAATGGGTTGGGTAGAGGCAGACCGCTAATTGCGATATCTCCATCTCGCGGGTTTTATGGATCCGTCCCGTGAGTGCCAATCGCAATGCTATACGATTCTGGACAGGGCGCCATTTTGAACACGGCGCCATTTTGGACAGTCTGGCCTCAATTTCTAACAAAGCCTATTGTTATCAAAGTTGAGCCACTTTTCTTGATACGAATAATGCTTGTTTGCTGAGAACCGGTTCTTACTAGTGCAATGAAATTGTACCATTGGGAAAAGATTGCAGGCTCAGATGCTTTGCGTCGTACTTTCTTCTTAGTTATGATTTTATTTCGGTTTAGTATTATTGCTCCAGTGATTATAGAGATGCACACGCTCTGATTGGTCAAGGATTGCATCATATCTGGTCATAGTCACCTCGCGTCAGCTGATTTTCAAAATGGCTGTCTTGCGTTTTGTCATTGGAGACAGGAGACATAACCTCGTAACTCCATTAGTGTAGCAACGCGGTTCGTAACAAGTTTCTTGTGTGGGGGCTGGAGGACTGTTTACTATGAATGGCCTATTTGTCGTTGCAGTGCCAGGCGAACCAGTCATAGGTAATGTGACCAATAACACCAACTCCTTAGTGTTAACCTGGAGATCACCAATAGAAAAGAATGGAATACTCACAGCTTTTCGGTTGTGCTGGCGATACGTAGGGGAGCAAAATGAAAGTTGCAAGAATTTAAGTGCTGCTGAAAGCTGGTTCGAGATTAGAAACTTGAGTAAGTCAGATTAATTTTTCAGTTTTCGTTAAGCCTCCAGGATGGTTTACCTTAGCATAGGAGAGGCAAAGCAGCCTATGCAGTCACTTAAAAACAAGTGTGTGGTTTAGTTGAAGACGTTTCTGTGACGTTGTGTCAATGTTTTATTGCTTGGCTGTCTCCAACAACTGATGTTCCAAAAATCTTGTGATGTCGAACTTGATAAGCGTCACCCACAAATAACATTTTTCTATCAACCTTTTTTCCTTGTCGTCATTGGTCGCGTACACGTACCTCCTTACCTTCCCCTTTCACCTCATATTTTACCCCGTTCCCTATACACGAATAGTTTAAAGGGATTCCGAAGACGGGTTTTTTTTGGTGGGATATCGATATTCGCTTTGGTGATATGCTTACTGCTGTATGTAGCTCTTAGAATTTATTGCCGTTTAGTATATTAAATGTCATCTTTGTTCTCGCAGAGGCTTACGCTCAATATAATGTGTCCCTGGAGGCCCAAACATCGGTGGGGGTCGGACCGGCCAGCACTAATATCTACAGGACGAGCGAAGGGGGTACGAATGAGATTGTCAGTGTCAGTTAGTTTCATCTGTTAAGGAAAATTTAGATTTTTTACGGTTCGGCTCTGTCACGCTATAAAACTTACCCTAGCATTTTAGCCAACTAAAGGACATGCCGAAAACAATCGCGACTTATACCACAAAAGACAAAACATGTTTATTTAAAGCGGATTTAACTGAATTAAAATCAGAAACAGAAAACTGAGAAGCTGTATTTTTCCATAGGGTTCGAGAAGCCACCAACTTGCATTTTCAATGTGCAAAACTGGAAGTTAACAAACAGCTTTTAGGAAGAAAAAGATTTAAACCATGTTAAAAATAAAAAAAAAACAACTGACAGCTTTAAAAGAAGTTTAAGTTTCTGTGTGAAAGGGGTATTAGTCTCACAAGTTTTCTTGTGCTGTCCATCGTTTATGTATACCTGCCTAATGTTTTAAATAGGTCGTTCGGTGCCCACTTTTCTTGTCATAGATTGCTGCAAACACTTTGATTTTGAGTATGGACCGCTTGAAAGAAATTGTTTCATATCATTGCATTGAATTTGAAAATAGAGATAGTAATTATTTAGATTTTTATAATCATTTACCAGCAGAATATATATATTTTTTCTCACCAGTTCCTTCGAAGCCGCTTAGTTTACGGGCATGGAACATGAGCGAAAATTCAATTTACGTCACATGGAAGAAGCCAGCGAGAATAAATGGAATCTTGAAAAGCTATAAGGTAACTCAGAATTCCTTGAAACGATAATTAACAATTAATCTCCCAAGTGGAGGCGAATGGGTGGTGGATTTTAAATGAGCTGTGAAGCGGCTAGGTATATACATGCCATAAAGAAACCAAATATCAGTTTATCTCTGTTAATATACCGAAAATGGTCGGTAATTAACTCAGGACCCGTGATTATGTCCCTTCGGCTGCACGGAGGTGAACAGAACTCGCAAGTCTGCTTCCGAACCAGCCAACCAGCGCGCACGAAGAGCATTTCATTTCATCATACTGAGATTTACACTATGAAGTACTATCGTTCGTGTCTCTGATTGGAGGAACGATGTATTTTCACAGTCGTTCGCTGTCAACCTTTGAAATGTGTCAGTCAGTTAGAAAAATTCTCAGTATGTATGAAATAAAAACATCATACCTTGGAAAGAGCTTGTGCACTTTCCATAAAATAATCTCTATATCCACCCGTGTGGTGGATACTAATATATGAGTTGTTATCATCAAACTGTAGGCAGTGTGACTGAGTTTGGTCTTGGGTTTAAGACACCTCCTCCTTTCTTTTTCTTGAAGGATTTGTTCTCTGTTGCCTGAGGTCAACAGTAAGGCTGAGTTATTTAAGTAGCTAATTTGTTTGCTTTTACGGAATATTGGTTTCAATTTTTCTCTTTGGCCTTGAAAATTTCCATCTGGAGAGTGAAGTCAATTTAGTGTACATTTACACCCCAATACTTTTTCATGATCGCATAATTTCATGTAGAGAAGAGTGCGACCGAAATTTATTGTGGCAGAAGTTTGTTTATTGTGGCAATTGTGGAATTTATTGTGGCAGAAGTTATTGTGGCAGAAGTTTCCTATCCCTATTCCTATCCCTTCCTATCCCTTGAATCCCTTAATTCTATTTTTGGAATTTAAGGAAATAAATAAATAAAACAGTATTTCCTTAAATTCTAAAATCCAGATTTTAATTGTTGCCACAAAAGGTACCTTAAGTTCCGCATTGTTTTCACTGCTTTTGTTTTTTGTTACTCTAGGTTTTCAATCTTTTAACATCAGACAGCAGTCAACATTTATCAGAAGATACTGTTTACGGTATAAACTTTACGCTGGGTGAGCTTCAGCCCTACACTTCATATAACGTCACAGTCCAGGCCTTCACGGCCGCTGGTGGAGGAGAGAAAACTAGGGTCCAGGTTATGACTGACGAGGCAGGTGAGTCTTGGGAAGGTGGTTGGGTGATTTAAATGCCAGTTTTCTAGAGGTAGTGTGGTGGTTTGTCTTTCATGACTCCTTGGAGTGGGATGGATAGAATTCTACGCATTTCAGTTTGCTATATTTTCGTGCAGCTCAACTCTGGCCGACAAAGTAGTCCGCCATATTTGCTTTCGGTGTATTGACCTTAGCTAAGTGAAACTCTGAGCCCTTCAAATACTACAGAAAGGAATTTTGAAGGCTCAGGTTCCAATTAAATGTCTTAAAACAGCATACTAGATGTCAATAATGTAAATTTGTTTCTCTTCATCGTACTGTTCGTCGTGATAGCACCATCCAAAGTCGTGTGACTGTCATTTCCAGAGGACAAGATTAATTTCAATTCCGTTGAAGTGTCTTGGGAGGCTCCTGAGAGGCCAAATGGGAAAATTGGTTATTTCTTGTCATACTGGAAATCGTCAATTGATCCTTCGAGCGCCAAGACATTGGTCTTATCGGGAGAAGTCCGCTCGAGGTTGGTCCCTAATCTAAAGCCGTTCACGAATTACACGTTTTCTGTTGAACCTTACAACTTAAGAAAGAATCTGACTGGAGGAGGTACCAGGAGGAAAGTGCAAACCAAAGCTACCAGTAAGAATTTTTCTTGTCTAATATTTCTTGTTTTGAATGATTGTTTGTCGGTGTATTTGTTTGTTTGATTGGAATTATATCGAATTACGAGTCAAATTTTTTGTAATGTTGTATGTTCGAATGGTAATTTTAATTACAAAGATGAGTGTTCCAGCGATCACTTTCCACTTCAGACTCAATCAGGGTTTGAGATTTTATTGTGTTTGTCCTGGGAGATAAGCTTCAGCTGCCGAAATTCCTCCGTGAGCTGCGCTTTCCAGTCTACTTATTTCAGACGTTTTAACAATTTTGTAAAACTGGTTAAGCAGCTTTCTTCTGCTTCTCACAGACGAATAAGGTCATGAGACGATACACATTTACGGTAAGAAAGAATGGCTGTGAAGTGTCCAAAACGTTCTCTGCCTTTCTAAGGTTGAAATTGTCTTCATTCAGAGGTATGTGGTGTTTCAAAAGTCTGGAAAAACGTTTCCATAAAATCGTTCTTAAGGAAAAAAATACGTTGGACATGAGCGTTGAAATGGAAAAGATAAGTGTTGAACCATGAACTTATTCCCACAGAGACCAGTGAAACAACCAGTTATTGGGCTTTCAAAACGATTCTTTGCTTGTTTGATTATTTCACATGATTAAGTGTTTTTCTGATTTTTGTTTTCTAGGGCCTGAAGGCCCACCACAGAATGTGAAGCTCGAGAGCAAGACCTCCACTTCCCTCACGTTATCTTGGAATCCACCGTTACAATCGAACGGTATTATTAGGAACTATGAAATCAAGTATTTCACATGCAACGGCACGGGTTTAAAACCTCCAGTAGAAAACGCGACGGAATCCATACATACCATCAAAGACCTGCAGCCTTGGCAGTGCTATGGAATACAGGTGGCTTGCCGATCGTCTGGCGGGCTTGGGGATTACTCCGAAGTCATCAAAATGCAAACGGACCCAGCAGGTAGCAAGGACAGTTATAAATAATCTATCTTACACGACGGACCTACCGATGGACTTACGGTCATGACGTCACAATCAAATCCTTTCGCCTTGATGGCTTATCAAATTTCTTAGTTATAGGGCTCCGCTTTAAGCAAATGCTGTATTTTGATAGGTTTTGAGCCGGCTTTTATGGCTGAAACCTCCAAACAACTTTATGAATAGCACAACGTATCTGTTCTACGAATTTTGTAGCACAGCCAAATTCTCTGTTATCCGTTTGGCCAATGATATGCTCTGTTCAAAGAAATATCCTATTAGTGCAGTAAAGAACATTTTTATTACTCCACCATAACGCCAATTGACCATCTAAGCGCGACGGAATACACATGCTTGCGCGGGAAAATGGCTCACGGAGGTCCAAAGTTGATGTCCTTGCTCATGTCCTTCGTTTGACTTCTGTGCCGTAGGCCTGTAAATTTGACCAGTCCGCATTCTTAGTTTGGAAATGAACTCTTTTTTAGCCCCTCCTCCGCTGGGAACAATTGCACCTCCGGATGAAAAAGAGATTGATACCACCTCTTTCAAAGTGGAGTTAACAAGGGCATCAAATAAGCGGGGTATTGTTCAGTAAGTCTTTGTTTCCTTGTTTGTTTGCTTCTCTGCTGCCCTATTTGGTTTGTTTGTTTGTTGTTTTCAGTCAACATGGTGTTATTTTGAGATGGTGTCTCAAAAATTATGTAAGTGGTCACAAATTACCGACAACCTCATCAGCTGTAGGGTGTTACTTTTCATAGCTCTTAATTCTCCCAAATTAATTGGAATAAAATGTCAAGCGACTAGAAGGGAGAATTACTTGTCAAATCAGGGGTGGATCCTGAATTTTGGAAAGGATATCTAAATCTTAATTCCAAAAACACATAAATATAGTTACTGGTTTGAGCGCTCAGGTATGGCCTAGGGAATACCACAAATGTGGAATCATTTGGGGTGGCTATATGGCTTTACCTCCGTCCTAGAATCAGCACTCCACTGATGAGGCCTAGAAGGCCGAAACAGTACTCTGTGCGTTAAATATATGAAAATGAAGAATATGCACAATGCATTATGAAAAACTTCATAATTTGTCAAAACATGCAGTATTGTCGTTGGAAGAATTTTTATGTTAGACAAATGGCAAAAAGCTCCAACGCCTGATGAGAAAAGGGTTTCAGCCCCGTGACCTCCTCCCACTTTAATGACTTTATCCGCCACTGTATACCGTGGGAAGTAGCGGGAACTCGCATAACGTAACAGACGCGCATTCTGTTCCGCCTCCAACTTCTTTCATTTTAGATATTACCGAGTGATCGTGCGAGAGCTTGCAACAAACAACAACGACCAGCCGGTGCCGGCAGATTACGATCCCACAAATTACAGAGAAAGAGATTTACATACTTACGAAGAAGCTCGGAAAATGAAACCCAAGCTGGTGCCTTACGTTGCTGCAGAGTTTCCCGCCGATAAATTTGATTTCTTCAAGGACTTTGAAGTTGGAGATGGAAAACGATACCCCAAGGTGTCGAACAGTACTTTAAGCAAAAAAAGAAGAAAACGAAGAGGAAGAAGAGAAATCGGCGAAAGCACAAGTGAATTTTACAACGGCCCTCTGGAGGAAAACACGTTTTATGCCGTGTTTCAGCGTGCCTATGTCGATAAGGTTAGTTTATTAGCCATCAGGAAGTGCAATGAATGACTATCGATTACTGTGTTTATTCTCGATAATGTAAATCAAGCAACATCCAATCAGATTCCGACATAGCCGTGGAGTGTAGACTTTTCAAAGGCAAAGTCGTCAGTTGACCAAGGTTAATGGATCAAATCACAGGTTGTCAAAAGGGAATATGGTTGTTAATTAAGTGAATAACAAGTCTCTGGTGTAAGTGTTCCGTTTGTTTGTTTGTTTGTTTGTTGTTCCAAAGGATTTTTTTCGTTTTCAGAAAGTTTATACTTCAAGTGATTGGATGGCTCCCGTCGCAACAGGTACGTTTCCTAGAAAGTATCATTTTCTGTGGAAGGCCTCGATCATCCAATCCGTGACAAGCACATTTCTGATTGGCTCTTTTGAACAATTTGATTACTTTGGAGTCACGCAAAATGCTATAGGTAGCTCGCAATACTGTTTTTGTGTAGGTGGGCTTTCAAAACAAGGGCGTGTCTCGAAAGATTGTGACAGCAATCAACGTGTGCAATTACGGTTTGAGTTGATCTCAAAGCAGGAAACACTTCACTAAGGGTGCTTAAATAATTGTCAAACGAGAACCATATGATCTCTCTTCATGCTATGATTTTTTCGTAACGGAAAAGAAAAGTGAGGAAACAAACAGAAAAACCACATTAAAAAAACAACAACATCACACTAGAAAACAAGTTCGTCTCCCAAATGGTCGCCTCTTAATATCCAACTTTTCCAAGTAATTTACTTGAAGTAAGGTGGCAATTTTGAGGCGTAGAAAAAATGGCGATTAACTGGCGTCAGTGCATACGTTATTTTGTTGCCAATCTGACGGGTCCAAAGTCCGAGGAAAGGAACGTTATAGCTTTGGTGGCAAAGATGACTGAGTGTCGCAAAAAGCGTAGGGGTTTTATTTACTAAACGAAGTCATTTAGACCTCTGATCTGTCTAGTTTCTCAGTCTTGTATTTCTATTTTCAGCGGCAGCTCGGAGTCCGACCGAGGCACCATCATCCTCATCAGATACCGGTCTCATTGTAGGAATTGTTTTGATTCTTCTGATTGCGCCCGTTGTGTTGGCAGCGGTCTACTTTATCTGGTTAGTCATTACGAACGTAACAAAAACTTTCTGTCTACTCTATGAAACCGACAAAATCTTTAAAATCCACCGTTACACCATCGGTGGCAGAAATCCTTTATTGCGTTCTTGGATATGCGCATGATAGGAGCTTATTTACCCGAGAACCATCGACGTTTTTGAATGTTCAGCGGTCTTACAAGTTAACAAAGCAGGCATTTTCGAATCTCTTCACTTCGATGAATAATAGTGCAAAGCTCTAAATTTGATGGACAGTACGTTGCAGAAGGAAACTTACTTTTTATCTGGTGTGTTTTTGACCACACCACTGGTTTTTTATTAGCGTTAAAAGCTGTTTTGATGAAAAGGTCAATCTATCACGTGAAAGTAAAATTATGCATTTGTCTTGACGTCCGACGAAACAGAAATGAGGCAACTGTCAAAGAAAGAAAATGAAATAGACCACTTTCATAAATGGCTGGCGGATTAATATTCTTTTGTTTAAATTTAAATTAGCCCTTCTGGCCTCGCTTGAGATAATGTATTCTTTTGAATTTTGTACTGGAGAACGAGGCCAGAAGGGCTAATTTAAATTTAAACAAAAGAATATTAATCCGGCAGCTATTTATGAAAGTGATCTATAGGTCAGGCCTTGAAAGCAATCAAATTTATGTTAAACACAAGCGACTAAGTCTGACTTCATCCATTTGACAAGAGTTTGAAAATATGATCAACCTCGTAAAACTTTGGTAAGCTAACTCTCCCAGCTACAGGTTTACCAACCCACCTAATGAGAGTTTCTAGGTTCCAACTGAAAGCTGCTGTTTCTCAGCATTTGAACTGTAATAAGTAACGCAGCGCTATTTTAAACATATATTTGACCATTTAGTTTACAGAAATTTGATTGAAAATATAACCGTAGTCGTGCAGAAGAACACGTCTGGATAAACTTAGGAGGTATTCAAGTATGTGAACGCCGGATTTCACAAGCGACGTTTGGAAGAAACGCAGGAGTGAGCGAGCCAACAAACGAACGAAATTCAACACGGAGCTAACCAAAAGCGGAAGAAAGTTGTGAAATGAATGAACATCTTTTTACTATGGAGTGCACTTAAATTGCCATACATAACCACAGATAAAGTTTTACTCCTTTTTGCTTAACGTTGATGTGTTTCCATTTAAAGAATAATCATTGGTCACATGCTACAATCTCTACATGTCGCTATTTGCATTCTGATTAGCGAATCAACGGTTCCAAGAACCAAGACACCTGATTCGTTTGAAAATTAATAAGATGTGTCTGCAAAAACTTGGAAACGTGTTTTGAATGATTTTTCAACTCTTTTATTAGGAGGAGACGTTCAAAATCGGGTGGATCTTTGGATGACAGAGATGATTTCACTAACGGGCATCCGATGAGAATGAAAAAGATGAGCCGTAAACGACGTTCGCTTCAGAAGCGTTTGATGGGAAGCACAGAGTCCTTAAACAGATTGGACGAACTTGCGGCAAGCAGAGCAAGTAAGATTATTAACTAGTCACTCTCTTCGATACACTATCGCCATCTCTCTCTTTTTTTTTTTTTTGAGAAAGTTCATCTTCTTCTTTTCTGTTATTGCCATTTTTTTCTCCATTCGAATGGTTGTCGTTGCTTTGCTGTACCTAAACCGATGCGTGATTCCCTTTACTCCACATTTTTATTCTAAGACATTGCCCATTTTCAGTGTTTTTCTAAGTAACGTGATCTTTTTGAGGCATATAACCATGAGTTCGGCTGCCAGGCTGGCTCTGCTAGCGAGACGAGTATTGTCTTCTGTTCATAAAAGTGATTTCCAACCGATCATGTACAGAAGAATGCAGCCCGATTACTGTTCTCGTGAGGAAATTATGCCGCGAGATGAATGATGCGTGATCTTTCAGTTCTCACTCCCTTCACTGGGCATGGGCAACTTTACAGTCACCACTAACTGTTTTTATATCATACACTTACCTGCTGTGTGTCAGAAATTACGTGCGACTGATTTTAAACTCATCTTACTTTTGTTTATAAACACAGCCCGTTTCTAAGCCAACGTACCCATAGACTGGATGATTTTTTTCCTTAATTTTTTCAAGTTACTCGCGTAATACAGCCTGTCATTGTCATGGTGCGCGTTGGTATTTCGTTAAGCATTACATAGTGCGACCAAAACAAATCTCGAAGCCTTTTCGTAAACAAGTATTTCTGTTATTTACCAGGGCGCCATCCTGTACCAATTGACGACTTTGAAAGACACGTGGATCGAATGCACATGGATGGTGATCACGGCTTCTCTGAAGAATATTTGGTACAAAAAGTTCTCTTCAAACTTTGTCTGAACTGCGCATTTCCTTCCGGCGATTACCATTCTCAGTTTTTGACTGTCCTTACTTTTTTTAACTCTTCTCTTCTACAGCTAGTTCAACCAGACGAGGAGTTCTCTTTTCAACACTTTTTGAATCCTACCAACAAGTACAAGAACAGATACGCCAACATTGTGGCATGTAAGTTTTTAACCCATTAACTCCCATAGATGATTAGAATGTAACTTCTTCCTATAATATCCATAAATTATCCAGCAAAAAGGTTTAGAGAATGCTCCAACTTATTGGGGTAGAAAATGTTACCTTGATTTAACACCAATTTCTAGTGACTAAGTTACTAGAAAATGTGTTGCAGCTAATGAGGAGAATTAAAAATCAAGTCTTGCGAGTTCATTAGTTGAGACGATTTCCTTTCCTTTCTTTTTCTAGCCTGTTCAAGGCGTCTAGTTACTAAAACGGAGAGAAGTAGCGAACGGCGCCACTGTAGGGGAGGGATGAGCAAGTGAAGGAGGAAGGTGGGGTGGGGTCGGGTTGGGTTAAGAGCTCAATCCAAACCCAGATCTCCCTCGCTTTTTCACTCCGCCGCTGCTATCGCTTTGTTTGCTATTTCGCTCCGTGTTCCCAACTGAACCCAGGTAAAGGTTATTAAAAGGTGACAGGCTTTAAAAGGGAATGGGATATTAAAATGTGACTCGTCGTTTTTTTTTTTTTCTATGTAGACGATCACACCAGAGTGCTCCTGAACCCGATTGATGGTGTGCCAGGGTCTGACTACATTAACGCCAGCTTCATCGATGTAAGTTGCCACAGTTTTTTGGAAGCCTTACATCATTTCCAGCGCTTCCGTTATAGCAAAGTAGCGACTAGTATTGGCCAAGTATTAAAAGGGCTGCAATTTAAAAAAAAAAAAAAACCGCTGAACACTGTAGTGAGGCGCAGTAAAAAGGGTATTCTCTCAACTGGCACGTTAATTAATTTTTTTGCCGCCTTTTTTCCTAAAACATTGTCTATTATTTCTATATTATTTATTGCCAGGGCTACAACCGACAGCGAGCTTACATTGCGGCTCAAGGTATGCTGCTATGAATATATATACAACAAGAAAAAACATAATAAAGAAAGAAATGATTTAGCAGTAAAAGGAAAAAGACTTGGTTGTTCACGATATTGTTGTCCTCGTTGTTGTGTGTACTTGTTGTTCTTGCATTTTGCCTAGTCCTCTTCTGAGCTGGTTAGTTAGCCACAGAGTGCTTATCTCAACATTCATGTATATTTTTTCAACATTTTCGCTGTAGGTCCTCTTATGGAAACGTTCGATGACTTTTGGCGTATGATGTGGGAACAAATGTCGTCAGTTATCGTCATGCTAACAAAGTTGGAGGAGAGGGGAAGGGTGAGTTAACATAGTGAAGGTCTCATGTGTGGACCTTAGAGTAGAGGGGCCGGGTAAGATGATACAGTGAAGGCCTTTTGCATGGACCTTAAAGGAGAGGGGCTGGTGAAGGTCTCAGTCGTGGTCCTTAGAGGATAGGGGAAGGGTAAGTCAACACAGGGAAGGTCTCAGGCGTGGTCCTTAGAGGAGAGGGGAAGGGTAAGTCAGCGCATTGAAGGTCTCAGGCGTGGTCCTTAGAGGAGAAGGGAAGGGTAAGTCAACTGT